AAACCTACTGCACCCTACGAACAAGGAACAATCTTGATTTGCACCACATGTAGCACATGTGTTTTTCCCTTGCATTGAGAAAAAGAATGCCCATATAAAAGAGAGTTATGACATTGAGAACTGGACTAATAAAGGGGATCACTCTCATAGGCACATAATAAATTTCAATTTGTTTGGGGATATTCCTTCCTGAAAAAGTTAAACAAATAGTACCTGTAGCGATGAAAATAGTTTCTAAATTATCTTGTAAAACCCTTCTATTCATTCTTATAACTCTACAAATGGGTAGATTAGTAGTAGTTAAAATTTTAACTTTCCCTTCTGACAAGGATTTAAAAACTCCCCTGACAATATCTTTTCAAGAAACAAGATGAGTGGGGATGAAAACCTTATACCCTAATTCTTTCCAGTCCTTCGTAAGAATAAACGAATTAGCAGATTGTTTGTCTTTGAGCACTACATTTTTGATATAAGGTTGAATGCTCGAATAAATGAACTTTGAAAAAAGTTTACATGTCACCTTAAAATTTCCGTTAAATACCATTCTCTCTCCTGTTGCCGACAAGAATGTAGCGTCAAATAATTTTTAAATAATTTTAAACTGTTTGTCTTTCTGCGCTTGCTGGATAGCCCAAATTTGACGAAATGCCCCTGATGATGCTTTAGAAAGCGAAAGTACTTGCGCAATATTTGTTGAATAAAATTGTGCTCGATATCTGCCTTTAATTTTTAAAATTACTATTTTTACCCTGAACAAAGACCTCAAAGGGCCCCAAATCTGATTCATAATATAAATTTATTTCTTTAATGTTTACTTTTTCTATTGCATTATTTTGAGACATATTTTTACCTATAATAGGGTCCGGATCTGGTGGCAGGTCATGAGGATTTTCGTCCTTCATAATGGTGAACTTTAACTATATTTAAATCTATCAAAAGGTTTAGATGTTGGTTTAATTGTATAAAAGAAAATATGTAAAGGAATAGGCTCACAAAGAAAATATAAGCTCTTAGGCCCTTAATTGTATTATGTAGGATAAATCCAGCAATTTCTTCGAATACGAGGCAACTATTCACCATCGAAATTCTAAAAAAAACCATGTTTTTCCATTTTGGTCAGATATATTTTTAGGTTAGTTTAATATGAAACCATAAGAAGAAAACTCATAACAAAACAAAAAGGAAACAAAACAGCACTCTACTTTGAGATGTCTGTCCCTGTTTCTACGTTTATGCAAAAAAACAGTGTTGATTTTATTGATTTAGTTGATTATATGATGTTTCTTTTATTGGTAGTAAATTACTATATACAGCACTTACATTCTCAATGTCGCTCTTTTATTCAAGGTGTTCTGTGTGATTTTTATTACACATATTTCTGAAAATAATCTTTTGTGGTTTTGTTATAGTGTTACGAATAAACATTCAAAGCAAGCTATATGATATTTATCAAAACAAAAATTTTTATGTAGACCCTTTTTATACTTAGTTTATCTTCATATGCATATCTTCTGCAGTAGACCTGTAATCATCCTTAGAAGGGTGATAATGACTTATTTATCAAAAGTAACCCCAGAAATTGGCGAAGGTCTTTATCAGAAACAGTAAAATTGTGAATATTTTTTTGCATCCCCCTGCACGTAGAGCTTGGTACCGTGACGAATAAATTGGATTATTCCAGGTGTAAAAAATAATAAAAAAAATCCAATTTATATTTCTTCAACTGTTCGTTCATCACCTTCCCTTTTCTTCCATTTACGTTGAATCGATACGTTTTCTTTCTTCTCCTCGTCGTATTATTCATAAACATCGATTTCTACTTTAACGTTTGATACATCAGGAATATCGAACACCTGATCGTCGATAGTATCCTCCTCTGGTTCTGTAGATGTGGAAGCTTTCACGTTATCGGATGCAGTTATCACTGTTCTTTCTTGTAGAAACCAGTATATATATATATATATATATATATATATATATATATATATATATATATATATATATTACAAAACTATTTAACGCGGAGTCAAACCCGGAAAACAACTGAAATCATATATATATATATATATATATATATATATATTATTACATATTATATATATATATATATATATATATATATATATATATATATAAATGGAAAAGGATAATGCGAGTGAATAATTAAAGTAAAAAGTAAGGGCATGTCTCGCAAGACAGAAAATCAAAAATGGTATATCGATGGAAGACAACCTTATATACGTATTTCTGACTATTGGTCGTCTTCAGTACGGTGCAGCCCAGTTAGAAAAGGTGCATATTAATTTGGGAAAGGATCACTACAGGAGCAATGCAACCAATTTGTGGCATGAGAGGTAGGATGGTGCCTTATATATATATATATATATATATATATATATATATATATATATATATATATATACTATCGCCAACTTACTGCAAAGCCTTTTTGGATGCAAAGAGATATCCCATTTCTTCACTGAAACGTAATAAAAAATCAAAATTATTATAAACACCATATTTTTTTTTCTAACAAGCTCCTGGCGACTAATTAAAGGTTACAATTGTGCACTGGAATTTTGTAGGGAACTTTGAATAATGGTGTTTTACTGTTGTCAACGTTTCCATTTTGGGAATAGTAAATACTTAACGTAATATCTTTGGAAATAAGTTACCTGAAGAAGTTTTTGTCAACATTTCTTTTATATGATTCCCAGATTGTGTTCCCAGAATGGGAACGTTGGCGTTTAATAGGTTTGTTAAAGAGTGTTTTATTTTAGTTTGTAACTTAGATACCGTTTTAATATTTCTAGTTCCAATTCTGAGATTCGGTACTTCTCTAAACGCATTTAAGAGTCTATTTGGTAAGCCTGGAATACATGGTATAGACTCGTATAACATTCGTTGGTTATCAGTTGAGACCTCTGATTTGTCGTTTTGAATTTTTGAAACACCAAAAATAAGTCTGTTCGGAAGGTTAGCTGGGAATCAGTTCTCCAACATGATCGTTTATAATTTTGTGAGACTAGCTGTTCTACAGTCAGGATGTGATAAGGTTCTAACTATAATTATTAGGTTTTAACTTTCATATTTATTTCAATTTAATTTTTATTTACATATTTAATTCAAGCAAATAAATTAGTAACATATCTAAAAAAAACATTGAAAATATCGAATAAAACAGCAAAAATAGAATAGCATAGAATTTACAACCCAATAGAACTTAGATTCTACTCTCTACCGGCAATACATAAACCGATCTTAGCAATGAGACCAATAATTATTGGTGCATCCATTGATTCTCCAAACAGAACAGAAAGATTAACAAATGCATACAATACAAATAATTATTACTATATAAACGATTCATTTAGTGTCAGCAAGAATACTATAGAAAAACAGTGAAAACACATCTCATAACACAGCTCAATATATTTTAGTTCGTTTATAACACTATTATCCTTCATATTTGACTCAAATATACACTGGTCTTTAACCAGGTGTATTTAAAACAAGTACATAATTGAAAGCTGTAGTAGGAAGGTCTCATATCATGTCCCTTTTTTAAGAATATACATGAACAATGTAATTCTTGCACTCTCAAAAGACAAAATTATGAAAACACTACCCACTTTTAACAACAGTCATTGTCAAGATTTACAGTTTACGGTAGAATTAGACAACAACAACAGCATAACTTTTATGGATATTATGGTGCCCTGTGATTTATAATGCTACTTAAGTTTGAAATTTATATTATCTTTTTATATTGTACTACACAATCTTCTTTCTGGGTAGAATATTTTTATGTTGTGACTGGCTGCATGGCACTTGCCTATGCCATTTAAACAAAAAAATGGTGCCCCTTGATTAGTGTTGCCCAAAATCGGTCTTCGTCTTGCAGTCTTGGTCTTGTTCTGGCGTTTGTGCAAGACCAAGACCAAGATCCAGACCGCCTAATTTTAGAAAGACCAAGACCAAGACTGGTCATGCAAGATTTCAGGAAGAACAAGACTAAGCCTGCGAGACTCTTGCATTTTGCGGTTTGGATTGAGCGTCGTTTTAGGAATTGTATTTATGATTAAATAGTATAATAACATAATTTTATCATGTCTTATAATTACTATAATTAAATTAGCCAAATTATTATAAAAAACTTAAAATTAAAAGGCTTTACTATACAACTACATTCAAATGTTGCGGGAATAAGCGGTCTTGAATACGTCATGCGCGAAAGCGAACCGATTTTGGAACATTATGTATGATACCTTGTGTTCATTGTACCACGGAAACTGTCTGTATCGGGGACATCGAGCAAAAAGACAAAAGAGGGAATGTAAAGGTAGTGGGGGCAAAAATATTGTTAGACAGGAAGTGCGATCTTTAGAGGCCACATTAAACAAGGAAAGAGAGTATATCTCCTTGTTTGACATCAAATTTAGTTGGGTTATGTTATTGTTTGTCCCAAATGTCACATGAAATCTTACTTATATTGAAGTTTTTTAACAATTGTGTCGCATTTTAGACTCTTACCGTTAATAATTAATTAAAACTTTGTAGTCTAAGACACATTCTGAAAAATATTATATAGCTACTGTTAATAAGTGCCGGAAAATTTAAATTTGGCGCATTCGCATTTCCGGATATATCCGCCATTAGAGGTCACTTTTTTGGTCTTCTTTTCATAAGGATTAGATTCCCCCTTTTGTCTTTTTGCTCGATGATCGGGAAACATCTCTGCTAATATTAACTAATCGCTCGAATATGTATTGTCAAAACAGTGATGACTGACTTATTGACATAGTTTCTGTATCTAAAACTAAATTTATTTTAATTAAATTTCTCATATTACATATTTATACAAGATTATGATGTCTACGGTGAAATTCACGTTCTACTCTTTTATACCGAGCTGCCTATGTGTATAAAAAGTATGCACGCCCAAAATTCCCAAACCAGAGAATCATTGAAAAGCTGTAATCATTTATTATATATTACAGAACGAAGTTTTTCCGAAAAAGGCAGTAATACAAGTTTAAAAGAAACTAAGACAATATTGGAGCCAAAATGTAATAAGAAAAATCCTATAAACAAAAACGTAAAAAATGAGAACGATGAAAAGAATCCAGAATTAAAATAAATAATAAAAAACTACTGTTTACTGTAATTTAAAATTCTATTTTTTTTTATGAGATTAAGTGTCGGACCATATTTTTGATATGTATTGTAAAAATATAAAGAACTTTGTATAACGTTTTGTTGCTTTTTATTTCTTATGTAAAATTTATTAAACTAGATCGCTATTTTTGATGGAAGTGCTGCTTTATTGTGGCCCTTCATCACTTAAAGAATTATATTTTCTTCCACACACGTATTTCTCAGAAATGTTTGCCACTAACTCAGTAGTGTCTAGGCAAGACCTTATTATGGATCAGGATGATTTCATATGTATGTTTCAATATTTAGGTATCCCTAAAGATCCTGGTGGTGCAGGAATACAGGATGGAACTGCAGGAATTAGTAAAAATACGATAGTCAGCTACATATACTTAATGCCGGATCAAATTGGGGTCCCGAGAAAATAGGTTGAAGAGGATGTCTTCAGCGAGGAAGCTCTGAAGAAGACACCGAAGAGGATGATACTCGACGCGGTTCACCCCGGAAGACTGTTAATTTCTATAATAGTATTAATCTTAGCTCTAGGTTTATATATATATATATATATATATATATATATATATATATATACATATATAAAAATATATGTATATATATATATATATATATATTGTGTTAATCACAGCTGATTAAGTTAGAAAATAAACCAAACTTAAGACTCTTTGGGTAAAAACAGCTGAAAGGATAGGCTAAGTGTACTCTTTAGTCCTTTATTAATCCAATATTTCGTCGATATTTATCGACATCATCAGGGATAAGCTACAATTAGTTTATATGAAAATTGACAATCTGTTATAAATAAGTTGATGTTACTTACGATTTTGAGAGTAGTGCGGTAAAAGCTGGTGAAAGTTATAAACATTTTTTTGTGAAAAAACTGTATAAGTTTTTTCACAAAAAGAAAAAAAACAGAAAAAACATGTAATGTAAATTCACTAAGACTGGTACAAAGACAATGCACAATTTTAACTATTATGTGTTGGACCGAATGTCCTCTCTCGAGAGTTTTACATCTTATATTTTCTTATTAACCTGTAGTGAGTGTCATGTAAAGTGAAAGTGGAACAACGTGGTTAATTGTAGGTTTGAAGACACTAACCTCTAAAATCTTCTTCTCTCTTAGATGGTCAAAGCAGAGGGGAGATTTTAGTGGCCCTTGCCTTATTGGTTGTCTGTACCTGTATAAGAATAGAATCTTAGGTAGGAGATATTTTAAAAAATTAAAATTGTTAACGTGATTGAAGATCACTGTAACAAGAGTTTAATAAAATTGATCTTAGTTAATTCCAAGACCTAGTTATTTTGTAAAGCTTGAAGATTAATAAAGTAATTTTGTATTTAAATTTTTGATATGACGGGTAGCGGGTAGGTACCCCTTTATGGTCCCGATAGAGGGTAGACTTACTTTAGGGAGGTAGCATCCCTGCCCACGCGAGCTCCGGGTTTTTCCTCCACTCCCTATTTAGGTGAAACCAGGCCCAAACCCTAGTATTATCCTACCTAAACTCCAAATTCCTTACCTAATCCCCCCCCTCACTCGCTAACACGTCTGCCAGCGGGGTGAGTTATTTATAGGCTAAGGGAATAAACCCCGACAGAAAATTCTGGTCCTCCTAGCAAGGGGGTTTAGCAATGGGCCAGCAACTCATTCTTGGAAAAAATAGTAATGCTAAAAATACCGAAACCAAGCCTCGGGATATGGATGGAACTAAAGGACGACGACAATGGCAACGAAAACGGACACTGATTTGTGGTACATGGAATACACAAGGAATTAGAAATAAAATCGAAGATGTTATCCAAGAAATGAAAAAACATAAAATGGATTTTGCTGTACTCTCAGAAACAAAGAAAAAAGGACAAGAAACCCAAAATCTTGATGAATATATACATATACACACGGGAGTTAATAAGGAAGAACATGCCAAAAGAGGAGTATCAATACTTATATTGAAGAAATACAATAAGAATATATCGAACTGGCAAGCAATAAATGAAAGAATCATAAAGATCAACCTCAACTTGAAAGGATTAAAAATAACAATAATAGGCACATACGGTCCGAATGATGATGCACGCCTAGAAGAAAAAATAAAATACTATGAAGTCCTAGATGAAACTATCTCTCAAATAGGTCAAACAAGGGAAACTATTATACTAGGTGACCTCAACGCAAGAACTGGTAGAAGAATAAAAGATAAAACAATAGGGCCATATGGAGAAAACACTACAAACGATAATGGCAATAACTTAATAGAAATGTGTAGACACAACTCACTAAGGATCATGAATGGGTATTTCAAACATAAGGAAATACATACATATACATGGACTCAGCCTACAAGAAACTTAAGATCAGTAATTGATTACCTAATAATGAAACAAAAATCTAAAATAAAAGTGCATGACGTAAGAGTATTTCGAGGAGCCGAATGTGGAAGTGACCACCATCTAGTAAAAGCTAAAATGATACTACCGCTAAGCGGAAACGGTAAACACCAACAAAACAAAAATCTAAATAAAAATCACTCAGCAGAAGGTGAACAACTGCAGTATAATCTAACAAGTTTAGACAACGATAGTACTAGAGAATTGTATAAAAAAAGATTGGAGCAACAACTACCACAGGAATTTAAACATAAAACAACAGAAGAGTTACATAGCATAATAAGAAAAGGAATACATCAAGCGGCCAAAGAAGCATTAGGAATAAGAGTAAACAAACTCAGAAAGACAAATAATTGGTGGAATGATGAACTACAGGAAATGAAAGATCAAAAGCAAAAATTATATCACAGATGGCTGGGAACAAAGGATCAAGAACACAAAAGAGAATATAGAGAAATGGTAAATAAATTTAAATCCACGATAATAGAGTCAAAAAATCAAAGCTGGGAGAGAAAATGTCAGGAATTAGATACGTATATTGGCGGCCGCAAATCAAGAGAATCCTGGAGATTTATAAAAAACATCAGATCCAACAGAACAGAACAAATAGCCATACACTCCATAGAGCCCGAAAAATGGGAAAAACACTATAAAACACGGTTAGTAGAAGAAAGACCGGAATTCAAACACATAGAACAACATGAAATCCTGATTCAAGGAGAGCCTCCAACAATTAACATCGAAGAAACTAAAAAAGCTATATCATTGTTGAAAAATGGACGTGCTCCGGGCCCAGAGGGGATATATGCAGAGTTAATAAAAAATGGAACCAACAAACTATTCGAGATACTAACAGAAGTTTTCAATAGGCACTTGCACGGAGAACCAGTGCCACAAAGTTGGAAAGAAGGATGGATTATATCTATCCATAAAAAAGGAAATAAGGAAGATTGCAATAACTATCGGGGTATAACTGTTACGAGTACGCTTAGCAGATTATATGGGAGAATTATAAAAGAACGCATATGCGAAGAATACCGTCCTTTTGAATCAGAAGAACAAAACGGATTCAGAGCGGGACGACCCACAATAGATAGTATTTTTTGCTTATCCCAAATACTCGAGAAAAGAACACTGAGATCTCGAGAAGTGCATTTACTTTTAGTCGATTTAACAAAAGCATATGACACCGTGCCTGTTGCGAAATTGTGGGAAGTATTGGAGAAAACCAGTATCAGCGTTTCACTAATCGACGCTATTAAAGATCTATATAACAACACAATATCAAAAGTTAAAATAGGAAATAAGGTTACTAATGGTTTTCAGGTAACAAAAGGACTGAAGCAAGGTTGTTGTTTATCTCCCATACTATTTAATATATATATCGACGAAGCACTCAGGCAATGAAAAGAAGTGTAAAGGGATGGGGCTGTCTATTGGGGATGAAACGTTATACACGCTGCATTATGCAGATGACCAGGTAGTTATTGCCCAAGACAAGGAAGACCTAGAGTATATGGCTAGAAAACTAATGGAAGAGTACAAAAAATGGGGCCTCGAAGTAAATTTACAAAAAACGCAATATCTTTGCATAGGAGGAGAAAATACTGCAGATGACCTCGACTTAGAAGACGGGAAAATTAAGAAATGCGATCAATGTATATATTTGGGGGTAAAACTAACAAAGACAGGAAGAACTGATAAAGCCATAAAAGACAGAATAACCAAAGGGAAACGAGTTATAGGTGCATTGAATTCAGTACTATGGCAGAAAAATCTACGACCGGAAACGAAAAAAAGAATATATAACACAATATTGAAACCAGTAATCGTGTATGGCTCAGAAGTATGGCAGTTATCACAAAAACTTAAAGGTAACCTCTTGGCAGTTGAAATGGATTTTTGGAGGAGAGCAGCGGGAAAGTCTCGATTAGAACATGTTAGAAATGAGGACATAATAAATCAAATGAATGTACAAAGATCAATTATAGAAGACATCGAAAAACAACAACTGACATGGTACGGGCATGTTAGACGTATGGGGGAAGAAAGACTACCAAAAAAAATATTAGAATGGGTACCACCAGAGAAAAGAAAACGAGGACGACCACCAACAACATGGATGCAAGGAATTTCAAAAGCAATATCAGTAAGAAATCTATTTGAAGAAGACTGGCAGAATAGACAGGCTTGGCGAACGGGAACCCAAAGGCGGATTACGCTATAAACGGGATATATATATATATATATATATATATATATATATATATATATATATATATATAAATTTTTGATATGAAATGTTAAATATTATAATTGATAATGTTCTGTATGATTTTTTTACTTTAAGAGTCTATTGTTAAACTATGTAATAAAATTAAATTTTATCACATAGTTTGCCATAAAAGGGTGTCATAAAGGATTTTCTTAACTAAATCAGTGGGATAAGAGTTCTCTGTAAATAGGTTGTGGAAAAGTTTGAGGTTCTTTTCATGAAAGGTTATATCTGAAATTTTCATCATTCTGGTCTTCATTTGTTTTAATAGATAAATTTTCATTGAATGTTCGTGATATGATAGGTAGTGTAGATATCTACCTGATGCTGTTGGTTTTCTATACCAGTCCACTACTTCTATTGTGAACTGTATATATGGATCATAACTGTTGAAGACTGATAAAATGTCTTCTAC